AGACGCCACAACTTTTGCATGAAGATTTTTGCAACGACAATGACCGGAGTAACCCAACCGAGCAGGTCAAAAAATTTAGCTATTGTTGATAAAATCGCTCGTTTGGTTTGTGGAATATTTGGCTCTGGTTGAATGTTAAAATAGAATGCATCGGAAGTTGGATCCCATAAAATTCCTAAGACCTTTAAACTTTCGTCTGGTTGGAGTAATTTGCTATGAGCAAGATTATCAGAGGAGTTAAGATCAGATAAAAGAGCAGGGGAGTTGCTTGCCCATTTCCGAAGGTTGAAACCACCACATTTAAATAATGAGATGAGCTGATTTCGCGTTTGAATAGCGAGTTGTTGATCGTCGGCGCCGAAAACACAATCGTCAACATAAACTTGGGATTGCAACACAGGAAGAGCTAGCGGATATTTTGACCCTTCGTCCGCGGCGAGTTGTTGAAGTACTCGAAGCGCGAGATATGGAGCTGGTGCAGTCCCGTATGTGACTGTTCGAAGACGGAAATGACGGAGTGGTTCCGTCGGAGAAGCGCGCCAGACGATTCGTTGATAGTCAAGGTCACGATCATCGACTAAGATTTGACGGTACATTTTCTCGATATCTGCAATATACACATATCTATGTAATCGCCAACGCAGGATTATAGCAGGTAAGTCTGTTTGGAGCTTGCGACCGATATGCAAGTGGTCGTTAAGCGAGGTACCATTTGATGTTCGATACGAAGCGTTAAAAACAACGCGAAGCCGACTGGTAATACTATTATCACGCACTACAGCATGATGCGGAATATAAACATGCTGGGATGAAGTCGAGTCAGTGTCACTTATTTCTGACATATGTTGCAGTGATTTATACTCCTGCATGAACTGAACATATTCAGCGGCAAAAGAAGGATTCGCATGAATGCGACGTTCTTGACGGAGCCACATACATTCGACCGCGGGAAAAGAGGTTCCGATGTCGATCGGAGGTCCTTGGACGAAGGGCAGACGAACACAATATCGTCCGCTTGCGGTACGCTTATGAGTTGCAACGAAGTGGTTTTCACAGACTGTTTCAGCAGGAGTTAACTGAAATCGAGAGGGTAACTCTTCGACTTCCCAAAATCGTCTTATGGCAGAATCCACGGATTCGAGAGTTGCACAATGGTGCATGGAAATGTTGGAAGAAGGATTGCTATGTTCAGAGATCGCAGGGACAGGACCGGAAAGAATCCAACCTAATGTGGTATCTTGCGCGACCTGCTCATTAGCGGTACCTTTTCGTACACCGACGTTAAGGATTAAACCATATACGTCAGCACCAACAATCATCTCAATGGGATCAGAGCTAAATGGATTTTCATCCGCGAGATCGAGTCCGCGAAGATGCTGGAGATTAATATTACCCGTCACGCGTGGCGGTAAATAGTGGGAAAGATTTGGCACAATTAGCGCGGTTGTCGAATATGCTGCTCCTGATCATTTACAAGATACAATGCGAAGAGTGGTTGACGCTTTACAATAGGTTTCACTATTACCAACGCCCGTAATGGAAATAGATACACGTGAGCGAGGGGCTTTTAGAATCTGAGCAAGGTTTTTGCTTATTAAGGACACGACCGATCCTTGATGCAGGAGCACGCGGACGCGCTGTACACGACCGTTACTAGCATGGACATTAACCCACGCAGTAGCAAGGAGAACATGAGAAATCATTGTGGTGGAATTCATAATCGAAAGCGATGCGGCTTGAGTTGGTGACTCGATGGTTGTATTGCTCGCGGAAGGTACTACGTTATCTGCTTTCGATATGGTATTTGTAAAATGAAGCAAGGTATGGTGACGCTTTCGGCACTTTTGACACGAGAACTGACTTTTGCATTCGGATTGGCTATGTTGGCTACTAAAACAATTAAAACATCGTTTACCTTGCTTCACATACTCAACTCGCTGGGCTACAGTTTTTTCCCGAAAAACAGGACATTGGTTCAAACCATGACTACCGGAACATAACGTACATCGCTGAGTATTTGAAGTTGTCGCGTGGAACTGGAACGATGATCGCGGTCGAGACACCTTTTGATTCGATGAGTCAGGATTGTTTACATTGGTTGCATGCTTCGGAGGAGTTATAGACTCCAGTGATCCAATACAAGTCTCGAGGAAGGTATTTAATTCGGTAAATTTGGGAAAATCGGTTGAACTTCCTAATTGAAGTTCCCAGGCACGACGCGTATTTTTGTCTAAACAATTCACAACGATACAAACAAGGATTTCGTTCCACGAGTCAACTGCACACTTTAAATTCTTTAACGCTTGTATCGCCATGTTTACGCGGTCACGAATATCAGTAAGAGCGGCTTGCGATTCGGAAACGGCGCGCGGTAGATTGAGGATCGACTGTACATGTGTAACGTCCCT